AAATGAAATGAAATGATATAAAAGTAAATGAAAGGAAATGAAATAAAATAAAAAGGCACAACAAAATTAAATAAAATTAAAATAAACTAAATTAAATCACATTAAACAAGAAAATGGGAATAAAGAAGTGAAATAAAACAAAAGAAAAATTAAATTAAATGATATGAAATGAATTAAATTGCATTAAAAAAACAAAATAACTAAATAAAATTAAATCAAGTAAATTAAAAGGAAATAAAATAAAAATTCAAATGAAATATATGTAAAAATTTAAAAGAAAAAAGTAAAAATAAATAAAACTCAAATATTATATAAAAAAATTAAACAAAATAAAATTACGTAAGAATAAATTAAATGAATTAAAAAATAAAATAAATCAAGTTAAATAAACAAAATGAAACAAAATTTAATTAATTAATTTTAAATTACTATAAATTAAATTTAATATATAAAAGAAAATTAAATAATTATTGAAACTAAAAAATTTAATAAATAAAAAAATAAACTAAAAAATAATAAAACAAAATTACATATAATAATATGAAATATAATATTATGATATATAATAATATAAAAATAAAATATAAAAAATAAAGTCATATGAAACAATTAAATTAAATTCAATTTAATTAATTATACGTAAAAAAGATATAATAAATAAATAAAAAAAAATATTTATGTTATACGTGTACGTATTTATTTTTGGGATTCATTTGTATACAAGTTTTTAATTTGAATATTAACTTTGCTGAGTGAATGGTTATATTTTTATTTTCTTGTAAATATATTAGTTTGTAATCTTGATTGCTGAGTTAGTGGTAACCGTTTTATATGAGATATGCATTTTTTCAAGCAAATAAAAAAAATATTTTGTACTAATGTTTATGAAAATTTAGCACAGCCCTTTGTTCAACTAATCGTGTAAAAGCTAAATTAATTCACGCATTATTATGATATATTTCCTACAGCACACCTTTTAATTTATAAAGTAAAATAAAATTTAATACTAAAAAAGACAACCAAATTTTGCGAAATTTGCACTTTTGCCACTTTTTACCACACGCCTCACACCCATTCCGCTAGTCACCAAATGACTGTCCCTCACTTACAGCTGATAAATGTGTATGTGGTTGTGTTACGTGGAGGTCTCGCACTACCAACGAATTTGGGTCAAAAGATGATTTTGTCTGAAAGCGAAATTTATGTGATTACATTGATATATATGTACATAGATGCAGGCATATATATATATATGTACGTATAATATTAATAATATTTGTATTTTTTCTCAATTTCAATTCGTGGCAGTGTTTTTTTTTCTCATAATAAGTAGATGATTGGTGGTTTAGGCGATCGTAGAATTTTATTAATTGCAATTTTCTCTACATAAAATGCATAGTAAGTTGAAAATTAAAAAAAAACAGCAGAAACTTGACGAACAAATAGTGAATAAAACGTGAAGAAGTTAAAACTGGGAAAACATGAAATAAAATTCATGGTCAAGTTACAAAACTTAAGCAAAAAAAAAAAAAAAAAATGAAAAGAAGAAGCTGCTTCTGCGTCAACAGCATCAAAAAGGCACAACCACGACTTCTTTATTAACTCAACTACAGACACCTTCACTGCACGATCTCTTACAAACACACACGATGCCGAAGCAACTGATATGAATTGTGCCTTGATTGTTGGTCATCCGCTACGAGCATTGGCACTATTGACTGCAACGAACGTCGATATTGATGACTTTGGTCTCATATGCTTGTTGGTTAACTTCTGTTTCATTTATGTTCACTTTTGCTTTTCATTTTTTACTTACTGCGTTTTTATTATTATTATTTCTTGCTCTGTCCATATCGATGTATATAAAATGTTATAGCCATACATATGTTGTTGCTTTCCGATTGCTCGCTTCTTCTATTTTACATTAAAAAAAAATATTGCAAAATTTTGAGGCTGAATTTGAAACAAACTGGTTGTTTGACTCTAGCAGTGTAAGTCTGTTGCTTTGGTGCTGGTCATCATAAGCCAGTGTTCATGCGTACATAGGTATATATATATATATATATATATATATTCACATGAACGCTTACAATATGTTGCTTACGTATGCTGTAAAAATGTGGTAACCATCACATTTATATTAAAATAGAATAAAATAAAATAAAACAAAATTAAATTATTAAAAACTAAAAACAAAATGAAATAGTATAGAAAAATTAACTAAAATGAAATAGACTGAATTAAAACAAAATAAAATTTGATTGAATTGAATTTATTATTGGTTTTTTAGTCTTTTGGAATTGCCTCAGACCATTTGTTTTTGGGAAATATTGAAGAAGTTACAACAACAGTTTTGAACGGTAGAAACTACCACGTTTCCTCATTAGACTTCTTCTTCCAGACACTTTTGTTCGAATCGCACTCGAACTTGGGATGCCCAGAGCCACAAACCAATGGTTTTCCCATTACGACGGTTAAATAAAACTAAAAACCCAAAAAAAAAATTTAACAGAATAATGACCTGGAAAAACACAATTTACTATTATTTAATTTAAATTATATAAAACGAAGTAAACTAATATAAATTTAAATATTACAAAATAAAATGAAATGAAAAAAATAAATTAAAATAGTAAAATAAAAAACATAAAAATATAAATAGAAAAAAATTAAAAATAAGAGAAAATAAAATAAAATAAATTAAAATAAGGAAAAATAAAATAAAATGTAAAAATATAATTCAATTTAAAAAAAAGGAAAATAAAATAAAATAAAAAATAAAAATAAAATAATTTAAAAATTAAATAATATAAAATGGAAAATAAAATAAAGTTAAACGAAAAAATGCTATAAAAGTGAAATAAGATATAAAATAAAAAAAATAATATACAATAAAATAGAATTAAATTAAATAAACTACGATAAAATTATATAAAATGAAAAGATTTATTAACACAGAGTAAAACATTAAAATAAATTTTGTTAAAATGGCATGAAATAAAATAGAAAAAAATAAAGTAAAACAAGCTAAAATAAAATAAGGTGAATGAAATTAAATAAAATTACATTAAGTAAAACAAAAAAAAAAAATGAAATGAAATATAAAATAAAAATATGATAGAAAATAAATTAAATAAATTAGAAATTTAGTAATTAAAGTTAAAACTAAATATGTCTTAGTACTCTGTAGAATATTTCTTTATAAAAGTTAATTTCATATATAAACAAAAATTTCATTTGTTTTTAGTTTGAAAGTGGAATTCAAGTAATTTTCTTCTACAACCATGTATCTATGTGTGTATGTGAGTATATACATATATATGTATATATTTATATATATATCAGCCTCAACCGAGTTCCCTTGGTATCACATATATGCCACGGAAAGATATTTTATTAAATTAACATTGACCATGACCTCTTTTCGAAATTGAGTTACCTTGACCTTTCTTTTGTCTTTTTGAATTGTGCAAGACTCAAAGTGCAGTAAAAAGTGTAACCTGTTGCTGCAGTAGCATTTTGAAATTTTATTAACCTCCATTGGCTGCATTGCATTGGTGTCAGACGATGGTAGAGACTTGAAAATGATATGCTGACATTTGCCTGTGATTTTGGATCATCAGTTTTACCAAATACCTACATATACATAGTTGAGGTTTTCTTGACAGAAATTTATATTTTTAAAATTTTTTTTTTTAATTTAAATCCTTAATTTAGACTCATTTTTTCCACCACTACATATTCTACATAATATTTATTTTTATTCTATGTATAACTTCCAGAACTTTAATATTAATTTCCTAGAAGTAATAATGCACTAAATAAATCATTTATTATAGCTCAAAGAAAAAAATGTACAAAAACAAATTATAAATATTACAAAATAATTGCAGTAAAAAAGTAAGTACATATATAAATAACTGTGCAAATAGAATACGATCAAGACGCATTTACTCTACACACTACTCATACTCAGTTAACTGGCCAACAACACCAACGACTGCGACAGCACATAGACAGCATTCAAACGCGCACTAATTAGCCGCCCAGTTGGCATACAGTCTCACCAGAATGCAATGACAGCCATTATATAATAAAATTTTTAATCAGACAATTTGATTGCAATGTACAACAGATAAACAAACACAGCAAAAACCCACAGTAAAAACCCAATATATATAAAATAAAAACAACAACTAGAATAAGTAAAAGCATATCTAGCTAGACTATTTATATACATTTTTATATATAAAAAAAATAAAATAAAATAAAATAAAATAAAATAAAATAAAATAAAATAAAATAAAACCAAAATCAAAATAAAAGACTGCGAAACACCACGAAAATGATAAAATAAATGAAAGAAACCAAAATAAAAAATTGAAACAAAATAAATTTTATTGAAAAAAATAAAAAAGCAAGAAAAAAATATATAAATATTGAGAAAAGATTAAATAAAATAAAATAAAGTAAACAATAAACAAAAATATATAAATAAAGTAAAATAATATCAAATAGTATAAAATGAAAACTGATAAAATAGAATAAAATAATGTAATTACAAATGAAATAAAATGGGAAGAAACTAATACAAAATATTTTAAAATAAAATTAACTGAAGTAAAAAAATAATAATGAATAAGATAATGTAAAACAATTAAAGTGAAATAAAATGGAATTATATAAAATAGAATATAATATTATATGCTAAATTAAAATTATATAAAATAATGAAAAATAAAGAAATAATGAAAAAAATATAAAAATAAAATAAAACAAAGTGAAATAAAATTATAATTAATTAAATAATATAGAAAATAATGAAATAAAAAACTTAAAAGAAATTAAGTAAAATAAGACAAAAAAGATTAAAGAATAAAATATGATAAAGTAAGATAAAAAATAAAAAAATTAAATAAATTAAAAAATATATAAAATTAAAACAAAAAAAATAAATTTAAAATAAAATAACACAATATAAAGGAAATAAATAAGTTTAATAAAAATGTGAATTTTTAAAAAAACTTCTTCTAATTACGAATTATTTTCAACTGTCTTTAATGTTTTGAAAATTTCGTTAAACTTTTTTTTTTATTTTGTTCACTTTATCTATTTTTTCATAACTTGGTCTTCTTGAAACGCATAAAAAATTTCGCATAAGGCTGTTTTAAAAATATACATACTCGTACATGTCTATGTATGTATATCACAAAAAAATGATATGGGAGAGCACCCAGCTAGTGCTCAAGTGCCGATAGGGGCTTGTGGTACAATTTTTTTCTATGTAATATCTAATAAATAACGATAAGCTTGATCGTATGCGTGCATATATATATATATGTATACTAAAATATGTATATAAATATTATCAATATAAAGAAAAGTAAACAACGCGACATAAACACATGCGATATGACGATAAATTCAAACCATTCTAGTAGTGTGAAGACGCGGTGGCAGTAAGAACCGGCCTTCATACACATTATCTTCGTTTTATATACATATTATATATGTGTGAAATATACAAATACAAATTAACAATTTTTTTTAATTTTTTTTTCGCAATAATAACTTACCTTTAGTTCCTTGAAATCTACAGTCAGCGCAACAGTCATGAAATGCGCTTGTACGGCCAATTGACCATTTGGTCGACGGAAAATCGGTGCGAATTGTGACGCCGCGGTGCTGTTACGTACGGTCAGTGCAGCAAATCGTCAAATTGACCTTGCATGCGAATGCAAGACGGTTATTAAAGTTTCTTATATGTATGTATGGATTGCACTTGCATGTGGACTGACAAGTGCAATTGAAGAAGAAGTGAAAGAAAAATAAAATTGCAATTAAAACCATTTGCATGCAGAATTGAGTTTTGAAGGTGAAATAACAGTCGGCGCTGACAATGAAAGTGAAAGAGAGAGAGAATTGTATTTTTTTTGTGGCAAGTAAATGGAAGTGCTTGTAATTTAAATATTGTATATAAACTGGGAAAAAGTGTAAAGTTAAAAAAGAAAGTTCTAAAAATTGTTTTCTTTCATTTTGTTGACAAAGCATTATTTGGAGTAAACAATGGAATGATATTAATAGCGGCCTTTAATTGTCTGTATAAAAGTTCTTATCTAAATTTTATATCGGCATGAATACATGTTATCGCGATAAATACATACAATACAATGCATTAACCAATACACAATATACTTGTATAAACAAAATGGAGGTAATTAGAGCAAGCATTTTTCATTTAAACCAAATATTTTGCAAATGTGTAATAAATTAAAATAAAATAAAATAAAATAAAATAAAATAAAATGATATAAAATAAAATAAATTAAAAGTAAATTAATTAATTGAAACAAAATAAAATTAATTAAATTGCACAAATATAAGTTATTAAAATTAAATTAAAGCATTATAAAAAAATAAAATAAATGCCAAATGTAGTAAATAAAATAAAATTAATTTAAACTGAACAAAGTAAAATATCGGCGGCCGCGGTGGCCGAGTGGTTAGCATTGACATTCGGAAGACTTGGGTTCCAGTCCTCGTGCGACCAACATCAGAAAGTTATAGAAAATGAATTTAAATAAAAAATTAAGTTAAATTGTCTAAATGCGGTCGCCCCTTGGCGGGGAGTGTCAACCCCTCCGGGTGTATTTCTGACATGAAAAAAAGCTCCTCATAAAAAAAACCCATCAGCCGTTCGGTGGCGGCTTAGTAAAAACCGTAGGTCCGTCCATTTGTTGGAAAAACATCAAGACGCAAAGCCACAAGTTGGAGGAGAAGCTCGGCCGAAAATCTCTTCAGCGGTTACAATTATATATAAAGTAAAATATCGAAACTTTAGACAAAAAACAAATTATAAAAATAAAAGAAAAGAAAGTCATGTTAAATTTTAAAAATGAAAACAGTAAAAATTATATTTAAACCTATATTTAATTAAAGTATTATTTTTAAAACTTAAATATAAAAAAAAATTAATATTATTTGATACGAGGTTGAATAAATTTATAATAAATTTAAACCATTTTTTTATACTTTTTTCCATTATACCCAAACCCAATAACGCCAAATAAAATATTTCCTTATTAAATCCTTCTTTAATCTCCTCACTTGGATACCTGCATTGGAATATTTTATATATTTTACTACTTTTATCAACTGACGGAATTGTAAATTTAAATCACTCTTGAACACGTTTGAACACACACACACACAGTTCATTAAATTCGGTTAAGTCGTTTAGCATGAGTTCGGTCAGATTTTCATCATTTCATTTTTTATAAACAATTTTCAAACACGTGGCAACTCTGAGGAAATCTTATTTTAAGCTATATTTATGGAGGGTTTAATTTTAGAGACGAAGTCTGTTGACTTTCAACGTATTTTTTCAATTTAAGTGTTCGATTGGATCTAAAGTATTTGAAAAATCGTTATTAGAGCTGCTTATATCACAAATTTCAGTTAAAAATAAAATGTATTTGTATATAATTTTTTTTCTTTGAGATTTTGTTTCTCACCGAAGTAGTGGAATTTCAGGTGAATTTAATAGTTTCATAAAGATAATCGAACAATTATAGTAATTTTTAAATATATTGAACAAAATGCAAAATAATAAATAAAATAATAAAAAAAAAGGTTGAAAGAAACAAAGATAGTATATACAATACAAATTTCCATGGATTAATATTAAAAAATATATTTTTCTGAAAACAGAATTAACCAAGAAAATTTCCATATTAAGCTCGGTCAGAACAAATTCATGCAACATGTGCACAAGTTCAAGGATCCTAATTGAACACATAATTTTTAATCAATAAAACTACATAAATATATATATATATATATATATATATATATATATATAACCTTTAGTAAAAACGGTTAACGACCGCACGCAGCATTAGTATTTTTATTTTTATTTTCAATAAAGTATTTTGCCTTCAACTTTACAAAATTGGTTGTGCTGAATACAATTGATGAGACTTGGTAAACACATTTTTAAGAAACATTTCCGTAAACTTAAATACTTGAATGTGACATAAAGTCAAACACTTTTGGCTGCAAGAAAAGAAAAAAGTCCAAAAACCGTTTTCTTAATTATTCACACATAAATTTATACAAGTATTTGTGTAGGTGTAAATCAATTATAGGCATATGTGCTTATGGGACATATATATGCTTGTATTTGTATTTAATATCATCACAATAACCCTCTTGCACGGCTAAAATGGCAGTACCAAACTCATTCAAAACTATCAACATTGACTTTTAATCACACTTTTGTGCCACAAATGTATATGAGTATTGTTATTATTATTTTTTTTTTCCTCCTCACTATTAAATCAGCTCATTGGCACTTGGCACTTGATGGGAAGGTCAATTTTATGTTGGTCACAAAGTGATTTGAAAAAATAAAAATAAATTAAAAATAAAATAAAAATAAAAAAATGAAATATAAAGTAAATAATACAAAATGTCAATAAATTATTAAAATAATTTTGAATGCTTTGCTTATTTGGCTTAATGTTGAGGGCGAAAAAAATCTGAATTAAGAATTTATTGCATTCGATCACAGGTTTTATTTATGAAAATAAGTATGTATGTAGTTCTAGCTCTCAGGCGTTTATACTGGGCAAAAATGTATTAGCATTTTTTTATTTTTATATACTTTTACATAAGTTTAAATTTAAAAAACTAATTTTTTGTTGTCGTCATTTGATGCCTACTTAATAATTTGAAAGAAAAACTACAAGTCATTCATAAGAATTTATGATTGTGTTATTGGAATGTGTGGAATATGTGAATGTGCTCAGATTTACAGATAAGAAATCGGCTGAAAAAATCGATAATTATATGAACAAAAGAAAGCCTTGAATAAGATGACTTTGCTGTTTGCGTGAGTTGACCGCACGTGGCTTTATTTCAATATGTGCGAATAAATTATGTAAATTATTTAATTATAGCAATTTCAATTTTGCAAAAAAAAAATTATGGTAATGTCGCGAATATTTTTTTTTTGTGAGCAGAACTGGGCTTTTTGATTTATCTTGTACAAAAAAATTAAATAAAAAAAATAAAGAAAATAAAATGAAATTAATTGAAATAATATAAAAATTAGTAAACTAGAAAATAAATAAATCACAAAATAAAACAAAACAAAAACATAAAAAAAATAAAATTTTTTTAAATAAAATAAATGGCAATATACTAAAACAAAGTAAAATTAAATAAAATAACATAAACAAAATAAAAGGGAGATAAAAAAAATTAAATTAATCTCACTTAATTAAATTAAAATAAAATAAGAAGAAATTTAAAAAGTTAAATTAATTTTCTTGACACAAAATAAAGTTAAACACACAAAAAGTTAAATAAAATTAAATTGAATTGATTTGAACTGAATAAAATTATATGAAAAAAATAAAATAAATTATATTCAAAAAAAAAAAAACTAAAGTCAAATAAAATCAAATAAAAATAAAAAAGTAATAAAAAAATAAATCTAGGTATATAAAATAAAATAAATTTAAATGAAATGATATAAGTAAAAAAATATTGAAAAAGAATAAAATGAATTAAAAGCAATAAGCTAAAAAGCATAAAAAATAAAAATTAAATAAAATAAAATTAATTATATGGTAAAGAAAATAAATAAATATATATGTATAAATATGTAAAAAAAAAACTTAAATTAAATTTTATTAAAAATTTAAAAAATGGAATATAAAACCAAATATTTAAAATAATTTGAATTAAGTGCAGGAATATTAAAAAAATAATGAAATATATTAAAAACAATAAGCAAAAATTTAGAAAAAATAAAATTAAAAAAATTAAGTGAATGTAAAGAAAGGGAAAATATAGAATTACAAAAAAAAAAATAATAAAGAAAAAAAAAAATTAAAGAACTTTTTTTATTCTCTTTCCTTTCTACCTCAACGCATTAATGCCAACATTTAACTGCCCATAAATTAGCTTAGCACGCCCTAAATGCGGTACACCAACACCCATTATGAATTATACGCTTATAAGGCAATAAGTGTGGATGCCACTGCAAGTGCTTAAACTCCTCAGACCAAAGCATAAATTAAAGTGTGGCAAATGAGCTACTAAAACCCACTAACCACAAACCAAAAAATACAATGTACTGACAATTATTACCAGCAACTACTCATTTAATGCGCTAATGCGCCAGTTAAGGCGCACATCACATTGCTGCACATGCAGCCGCAAAGAGTTTTGTTTTGTTGAATGTAGTAGGAATCAACAGCAGCAGCCGCACCATCAACAAGTGGCAAACGCAATTATACTCGTATATTTCACTTTTCAACAATGCTCGAGCCGGCACCGAACACTGGTTGCTGAGTTAGTGGCAGTGACAGAGCCGACGAGCGCCACCTTAAAAATCTCAAACTCATATATATTATATATTCATACTAGTCAGCTGGCTGTGCGCATGTGCGCTGGCATATGCCACATTTGCACTAATTACTTTTGGTCATTTCACGTTTTTTCGATTTTGGTTTTCATATTTTCCAATTCTTCAGCACTGAGGTATGTGGTTGCGGTTGCCAAATACTTGGTGGCTCTACTTCAAGTTTTAACTAACGTTCTCTCGCTTATCAACAACACCCAACACTCGCACACAAGTCCAATATACGTGCATACGTATATGTTTCTATGTATGTACACTCAATCGTTGTTTTCTTTTCGTTTTTATACTTCTTGATTTTGTTTACATTTTTGTTGTTGTTGTTGTTGTGTTGTGGGTCTTTTCAGCACTCTTGCATTCATATTACAACTAAAATGTGCATTTGACCCAATTACAAAACGAAACATGTTGCCGTTGCAGGCTTGCACAGCTAATGCATATACATATATATACGCATATAATATACTATATACGAGTACGTATGAATGTATGAGCAAATATATTGCATTGCGCTCGCTGACACTCAGAAGGACAATGTGCTGCACGCTGCAGTGAACAAAAGCGGTTGGTAGCCGTTCACATTCTCTTATTCATATTCATACATATATGTCTATGCCGGTATGTATGAGTAAATATATTAGGCGTACATTTTGCAAGATTTTAAATTTACTGGTTTAGTTTAAATGTTAGACAGTCTTCAGATTACAAGAACACAGTAAAAATCTAGTTGTACAGAGCGTAAAGCGAAAAAGTTGATAAAGTCAATAACCTGCTAATTCGAGTAT